AATTTGGGCCAGGGTGTTCAAAAACTCCCCCTATTAAGGGAGGTGAGTTTTCAACCCCCAAGACCCCCAAGGCGGCCCAGGGGGGGGGGGGATTGCGGGGAGTTGAAGTCCACTCATCTTAAAGTGGCCAAGTTTGGACAACACTGGCCTAATGTCTTCTTTCTCTTTGTTAATTATTGTATTTATCTTTTCGTTTATAATTCATGAAGAATTATATTTGCTATGGGGCAGGCTACAAATAACGCTGCTGCTATTGAGCTAATAAGGAAACAGAAGCTAAAGGAGAAAGCTATTCAATTAATGCTGCACAGGAACTTTACTAAGGATACTGTTGAATAAACATTGAATAAAATAAACATCCAAGAGATGGATCTTGTCCACAGGAAATAGACTTTACGGATAACATAAAGCTATATTAAATGCAGTATGTAACTACTATTTTAAACAAGCCCTAATTTTCTCTAAGGTCCCTTCTAACTGATTCTACGGAAGCCACCTCATAAAAGTTTCTGAACTATTCTTCTAGTTTTTGGCATTTCAATGAGATGCTGCCCACATATTTCCAACAGTTTCTGCAATCAGAATGGTTAAGAAGCCAAGGTTATTTTATTGTCTCCAAAATAAGAATGGAAATTTGCAACCTTTTGGCACTCCTGCAGAACTTTAGCATAGCTATAACACTGCTTTGTGGAGCCAGATTTGTAGGTCTGAAACTGACTTCAACCTTATTTCATTCACCCTTCTCCCCATATAATCCACAATAAAGCCATAATCCGTTAACTCAGGCTGTCCCTATTACAACATTGTCTCTAAGACAAAAACAATGTTGATACTTGAAAGTAAGATAAATGTCCAATAACTCAAGGGAATGTTATCTATTTATTATTTCCTGAACACATGGCTCTTCAATAATACAATATACTTTATGGTACTGTTGTTAACTTAAGGCTCTAAAGGCTTGGGGTTCAAGTACCTCTTGAAACGTCTCTGCCAGAATGTACCCAGTCTGTATTTTAAGATATTTGGAGGAAGCCCTGCACTTGGTGCTGTGGAAGGGCATCACTACTTGGCTACAACCCAAAGAATCATGGCATTCTTATTAAATGCTTAAGATGTACCTCAGTACAAAGGCCTTTGGTTGCCACTGACACGTAGTACATAACTCAGTGCTATGGTACTCTTTTTATTTATGGTACTCTTTTTATTCCTTCTTATTTTATCAATGCATAATGAAAGTAAAACCCCAGACTTCCATGGAAGCTATTTCAGAGTCAGAGTTTCACTGCCAAGAAATCCCTCTGCCTGATAACTTTATCCTTGCACATCTTTGACAGGACTCTCATGATGTAAAGCTTCCTTCTATCTGGAAACTATTTCAGTACTGGTTCATTGCTATGCCATCTGTATGCTTTTACTGTATATTTCACATGATAAGGCACAACAAAGAAGGATTCTGAGGCCCGTCCCTATTTTCCTTGTTGTACTTCTCGCTTTTTAAACAGGTTTCCCCAAGCTTAGATGCTGAGCTTAGAAAAGGCTGATTAAAACTCAGAAAACAGTGAGGCAAATTTATCTATTTATTTGGCTTATATTCTGCTCTGATTATAACTGATTCTGAGCAGCTTACAGATCTACAACTAATAATAAGATTAAAACAATATACAATCATATCAGCATAAATTTCTCAACATTGAGGAATTAGGCACACATATAAGACATTCTCATATAAGGAGGGAACAAAAATAAATGTAACTTTTCTGCCCACTGAAAAAAAGCAGGTCTTAACAGCTCTGTAGAAAGCTGAAGGAGCCAGAGCCTGCCTAATATCAGGGGGGATGCTGTTCTAGAGAAGGTGGACAACCACCCAGATGGCCCAGCCCTGAGATCCCTGCAGAAGACACTACCTATCCCAAGGGTCTGGATCCAGAGAGAGAACTCACTTCCAAACCTTAATGGATGGGCAGAGACTTCTGGAAGTAGGATGGGGAAAGAGTTCTGCTCATTTTCTCTAGCAGTCCACTTCAGGAGACTTTTCCCCAGCTTTATTTGTGAAAAGGGTAGAGGAGTGGTCCTGTTGTACCCAGTTTCCCAGGCTATCACTAGCATCTTCTCTTCTTAAGAGACTTATACCATAACCCTATATATGGCTACTCAAAAATAAATCCCACAAGTTCAGTGGAACACTCACAGACTCATGTACGAGATGTAATTCTTTAAGATTTGTCCACTGCTGCTAATGAGTTAACAAATTTCACTTTGCCAAGACTCATGATTTTCCCAGAAATTAACCAAGAGCTTGGGACAGATTCAATACAGTGGACCAGACAGTCTTACCAAAAGCTTCCTCTCGTTGCTTCTCCATATTCTCTCTCAGTTTCCGCTCTTCCACTTGCCTCTTCAAGCCTTCTAAGTCCACCTTGAGGGCAAGGGACATTAATGACCAGTTAGGTTAATAGGAACATAAGGTGGGACAACTTCCTCAGCAATGGAATGCTCCTCTCCCACCTCATCCAACTACTATAAAAACAAAGGTATCTTAAAGGCCATATATTATGGCAAAATAAGATCTTGTGTTCTTGAACTTCAATTAGTTCAAAATGTAGCTGCAAGACCCTTGACAGAAACTATTTCAAGTTCAAAAAACATCCTAGGAGAAGGCAACAGCAAACCACTTCCACAGGGTGGTTACAAAAAAAAACAGCAACTAGATGGGCATGTCCACAGTCACTATAACTTAAGTTTGATGTGAAAGAAATTTTGCATGTATTACCTTAAAAGCCAAAGTGGCCAAGAAGCAGGAAACCTGAAGGCTTGCCTTCTCTAGGGCCATCTTATCTGGGCTTCAAAACTCTGAATGACCACTAGATGGCAGCAGTGAACAGTTGGGATGGCCTTCAGGAAAGCAGTGAAGACCTAGTTTTTCCCCTAGGTACTGGGGCCAGAATGTTGACAGGGCTGACATGGAGTGATTGGTAGATGGTGATTAGGGCTTTAACTTTGTTTATTGTTTTAAATTGTTGTTTTATTATATTGTGTTTTTGTTTACCATCCAAAAGTTTGCTAAATAAATCAATCTGGATTTTGGCAGTCCAAAAATGGTAGTTTTAACCTCCTCCCATGAATCTGCCTACTCTCTCTAGATCATCTAGAATGGCCCTGTTACATCTCTCATCACCATCAGAATTTTGCTTGGCAAGAACACATTAGGCCTGAGTTTTCACCAATGTCTTTGCTGTTGCTGCTGCTGAGTTATGTTTTAATCTCTTGCCTTAGTATATTTCAAGTTTCTTTACTCTTTCTGATGAAACCTCAAGTGGCGTAAAGAAAAAATAGAAAATGTTTGGGTTTGGCTTAAGAGTTCCGTGAACCCAACCAGTTGTGGTTTATTTAATAACCCTGATTAAGCAAACAATGGCTTAATGCTGTGTATCAACCTAGTCTCTACTTTTTATTACACTTATTTTGTGGAGATATATTTCAAGTAATTCCATTTTGCATTAAATTTCATGATGCTAAAGATAAAACTGGAGCCCTCTCTATTTCCTTCATATATCATTTCAGTGACTTTGAATCCAACAAAATCCAAATTCCATGCCACGAAGAAACTTATTTGCTCTGTTCAAAGTGCAACCCAACAGTAAACCTATACGTTTACTCAGTTTTAGGGGTCTCCAGCCAAAAGTGAACCACACATTTCCATACCCCGCATTTACAGAGAAGTTTAAAAGGAGTTTCTTTCTTAAACCTCATCTCAGTTTTCCACAATACTGTATTCAAATCAGTAAACCAGGATTGGCATGTATTTCCTGGAGTAGAACCAGAAACCCGTTTCAAATCATGTTTGCAGGGTAAGCATTAAACACTGTTTGCTGATTCTATTCAGATGTCAGTCACAACAAAGCATATACAGTATGTAGTAACTGGCTTGCTGTTGCACCCCGCTGAACTGAGCTCCTCTAGAAAGCCACGTTCATATTCAGGAGGGTTAGCAAGCGGGTGAATTTCTGTCACCGGGGCCTCCGGTCGAGATACCCGTTCTCCCAGCACCCACTCCGGGAGTCTTACCCCCATGGTACGGTAGCGAGCATTGAAGATGCGGCTCTGTCTCTGCTTCTCCCGGTTCCGGCGGGCTTCAATGGCAGCTGCCTCTCTGAGCTCGGCCTGAATGTCCACTTTATGCATCGCTGCACTTGCACCTGTAACTGGCTGCAGAAACAACGTTAAAAAGTTCTGCCCGGCTGTTAAAAGCTAGAGATTCCCTGTAACATAATGATCTAGTGGTTTCCCTGGACTCTTTGGAAAGGTAATCCTAAATCGACCGCGTTGGGGAAGGAGGTTTCCTTACTTACGAGAAAACCCGCAGAAGTTCAGAGTTAGGATCCCCAGTAATACTAGACCAGTAGGCACGCTTGTCTGGGACAGAAAGCGTGCCTTCCCAGACAATCCTCTCGAACTGACAGTTTGCAAATTAAAATCACCTGTAATTGGGAGCGGGAGTAGCTCAGCTGTCTCACCAATCATTCATTTAAGACTTGAATAACAGCCTCCCCTCCGCTTCCCGCGCTCCTCTTTTGGCAAGCTCTGTTGCTGTCTGGTTTCTGTGGCAACGGCTCCGCGTTCTCTCCCTTTCAAACGGACGTATTCGATCTACTCAGACGTTGATTTATGCAAATTTAGAAGTATTGCAAAAAGCCTATCAGCAGACGGAAAAGCGAGAGCGCCGTTAGGAGAACGCCACCGCTAGTGGAGGGCGGGAGGAGCTTCGTATACAAAACGCGTCGGGCGGGGGCAGCCAATCAACCCCCGGTGTTTCGAAGGAGGTGTGGCTGAGGCGATGGAGCGCCCCCGGGCTTTGCGTTGAGAATGTGGTAGTGAGCTGTCGCGAGATTTCCGGGCGCCCGCCCTTGTGGAAAGCGGGCTTCAGTGGGCGGGGCCGGGGTCCCAGAGGTTCCGTCCGAGGGGCCCTTTTTTCACGTGTCCGGGCCCGCCGTCCCCGCTTCTTTCCTGCTCCCCTTCTCGCCTTCGCGACATGGGGTTCCTCAAGCTGATCGAGATCGAGAACTTCAAATCGTACAAGGGGCGGCAAATTATCGGGCCCTTCCGGCGCTTCACGGCCATCATCGGGCCCAATGGATCTGGTACGCGACCCTCGGCTGGGGCGGGACAGGGAAATCCGTGTCGCGGTGCGGGAGGGGGGACACAGTTTTATTTAGTCCCCCATAGGCTCCCGTCGGTGGGCTTCGGTGAGAGCAAAGCCTCGCTGAGGTGCATGCTGCGTCTCTAAATGAGTCGCTGTTCTGGGATTGCTCCCGCATCGTTAGTTCTGGCTGCTTGGCCTGGGTTGAAGAGAATTAGGCTGGCATCAGTGAGAACAATGTAGAGAAACTATCGGCTCTTAGGTACCCAGGTGTGCAGCGGAGAGGTACCTGGTTACAACACTGAAGTTGCATGATACATTCTAATTGGCATCTGATGCAGAAAGGGGGAAGGGAAGAATCCCTAGTGAACACAGGTACTACCATGTAGCCCTTTCTTCATTGACATATATATCTGGGCTGCACACTATCTCCATTCACATAACATATTAAATCATAAGTTCTATGGTTAAAACAACTATAGGGCTGGATCTTGGTAGCATACTAAGCCCAAGCAAGCCAGCCAGTTATGGCTCATTTTAAGTAATAGTGTGGTTCAGACAGTGTAGTAAAAAATGTGATTAATTTTATTGTGTGTGTGTATATAAATAAATAAAATATATTGAGACCCCTCTCTTCATTGCACTTTTTATTTATTTATTTCAAGATTGATAAGGCCGCCCAACTCTAACAGTGTAGCTCTGGGCAGCATACAACATAAACACATATTAATAATAACTAAAACAAACAACCAATATATGCATATAAAAGCTACTTGGCTTGCCATATTTTATCTTTATTTTTTTTATGTTTTATTGACTTTATTGTAATTTCTTTGATTGTTGTGAGCCACCCAGAGTTGTTGAAAGTCAAGGAGGCTTAAAAGATTAATAGATGATGATGATGATGATATAAACTGACTTGTAGTGAATGTAGCCTGTATGTGGGAGAGGGAGTAGGTATGATTGAACATTTCTCTCCAGCAAGTAATGCATCATCACAACTTAGAAAACTAGTATTGCAGGGTGAAGGCTTAGGCTAAAACCTGAGTGACAATTTCTGTGTGGAGGTGTGGTTTTTTTAATAGGAAGCAAAACTATATTATATGAACTACCCATATACATTTTGCAATTCAGGTAGTGGTCAGGTTGTCATCTGAATGTAAACTTTGTGCTTATGTTCTACTTTCCGAAGACCTCACTCCTTTGTTTCTGCATGTGTCTCAGTTCTGAGCACATTTTTGTATTTCAAGATGCTCATGTGGAAAGACAGCACCTTTGAAATCCATGGTTACAAATTCTAGTTAATACTGTTTCAGTGCTGTGAAACAGTATTAACTAGAATTACCGAACACTACTGTGCTGAAAGTATTGCCCATTTGCTCATCCTTGCCTGTTTATGGAGCTGCCTACCTGTTGGGCTCCATCGGGAAATAGACAGGCAAGATAACAAGGGATGCCTGTGAATAAATGCATGTACTTAGATTTCAGAATTTTGGGATTAAGTAACAGGAATGTTAATTAAATATAGGATTGAGGGTTTAAAAAAAAAAAATTGTGTGCATGTTGGGCCAAGTGCCAGGAGATGATACAATATTTAGTTGCATAAGGGTATTTCTGCTGCATTTCTGCTTGTTGTGCAGCTGTGGAAAATGCTCAGCTTTCTCAAGATTTAAAAAGTGATAGTATAGGTCTGAAGAAAAGTTGAATTGGCAAGCATTTGTCCATGCAGTCACTAGGAGTTGAGCCTTACCTGATGGCATCTAACTAATTAGGACAACATAGAAGAAAAGATGATATATGTCATAATGTGGAGTTGGCATTGGTGAAAAATAGTTAAGGGGTTTTTTTTGTATGTGTGTGTGAAAAAGTTGGAGGATACACCCAAATATTGCAAATTTAATCTTTGACCAGAAGGTTTCAGTCATATGAGAAGGAGCAAAGACGATAACATCAGTTACATCTGCATGTGGCTCAAGAAAAAGTCACTTCACCATGATGGAGATAGTAGATATAGGCTGGATTGAAAAGTTCATATCAGTAAAACATGAAAAACTCAAGGATGGAGAGGTTGAGAAAATACCACCCCTACTTTCCAATCAGAGGAGATATTTTATATGTGAGAAATTCAAAACTTGCACATGCGCAGAAACAACACTCTGAAAAGATGAGTATTGAATAAAAATTGTAGGATAACAGCCTGGCAGGTGCTGATTGAAATGACAGTCCAAGATTTTACTAAGCACATTTACATGAAAATATATCATGTTTGCAATATATTTGCTGTCTTTCATCTAGGCAAGTCAAACCTCATGGATGCCATCAGCTTTGTGCTTGGTGAAAAGACTAGTAATTTGAGAGTAAAGACTTTGCGAGACTTGATTCATGGAGCCCCTGTTGGGAAACCAGCTGCCAACCGGGCATTTGTCAGCATGGTCTATTCTGAAGATGGTGTTGAGGATCGCACCTTTGCAAGAGTCATCGTGGGTGAGTACGAAATATAGTCTGAGGGAACTCTTGGGAGGCTTGGTGCTTGGAGATCTAGAACGGGTTGGGGTTCTGTTATCACATGTTGCAAAAAGTTGGTGGTTGGATCTCTGAAGGATTGGTGGGGCTGGTTTATATTAAAAAAGAGGTGGAGGGAGATTCCTTGCCTCAGAGAAATATATAAAGTTTCTTTGGGATGGGATTGTAAATCAATTCCATGGATATGGGCTCTGAAGTAAGTCCCACTGTATTGATTGGGGCATAATCCTTACAAATACGCATAAGACTGCAGCCTTAATCATCTAGTCAGAAACACTTTTTCTGAATGTGCTTATTCTTTTTCTGAATATTATGCTTATTTGTGCTTCTTGTATTATCCGTTTCAGAAAATTGCAAATACATTTTGCCTTTGTTTTCTGCAGCAAATGTATTCTTAAATCATGACTGCTAACAATTTATAAATAACTGCTTGTTCTAAATACATCCTATCCTGCTGTTTTGCATTTTCTTTTTTATATTTTCCATGGATATTCCCTGTAAGACTTTAATTGTATAGTTTTGGCATTATAAAAACTGGAAAAGTATTACAGCCCACCTTGGTCTCAACCATCTGATTTGTTTCTATTCTTTGGTTGAAGGTAAATGAGAGTTTTATCTTTTAGGAAGTTCGTCAGAGTACAAAATAAACAACAAAGTGGTACAGTTGAGTGAATACAGTGAAGAGTTGGAAAAACTGGGCATTCTAATCAAAGCTAGGAATTTCCTTGTCTTCCAGGTATGTGTATTTAATTTAGAGTTCAACTGAATTGCTTGGTCTCTTAGTGTCAGCAGAACAGAATCCAATTCACTGGCACTTCTCTTCTGTTGATTTGGCAATGGTAACAGAAGTGTTTGTGCTTAGGCTTGGGTATATTCAAAATAGGTGAGCTGTGTGTCTGTAGTATAAAGTCCACAGCAATTGTCGTTTTGTCCAATCCTGGAAGGAGGATGGTGGCTAGGTTTTGGCTGAACAATATTTTGGGGCTTAGTGACGGGCAACATTTATTTAAAAAAGAGTGCCCAGGTGAGATTATACTGCCATTCTTTTGAGTGCTGAAGGAGAAAGACAGACTCCTGTGCCTTGGAGAAGATTGTGCTGCTGTCCCGCTAAGCTGGGCTTCTAGAAATAGTGGAGTGTAGGAGAGGCAGGTAGAAGTTCAGACTGATTCTCCACACACCTAATGTTGAAGATGTCCATCCCTCAGAGTTATTGCCTATCATTTTCACCAAAGGTAGGCAACCATAGCTGATTTGGACTACATTTCTTGCAGTTGTTTTCCATTGGTTGTGGTGGCTGGGACTGATGGGTATCCAGAATATCAGAGTCATGCCTTTGACTCAGATTGCACTAGAAGAAAGGAGGACATTATGTTAGGTCTGATGTTGTCACTTTGTATTATTGAAGACTATCTGGAAGCTGCAGCTAATGTGGAACGCAGTGGGGCAGGCAGATATGGACGCACTCCGGTAGACCAGTGTTAACCTCTGCTTTGCAAGCTGCATTGGCTCCCAGTGTGCCTCTTGGTGGAATTCAAGGTGCTGGTTGTCACCTATAGAGCCCTCCATGGCTTGAGGCTGGGTTATTTGTGGGACTGCCTCCCCAGTTGTTTCTACCCATCCCACTAGATCTGACAGGAGGGGCGCGCTTTGGGTCCTTTCAGTCAAAGAATGTCATCTGATGAGACCTCAGAAGCTTGCCTTCTCTGTCACAGTGCCTGCTCTCTAGAACATTGTGCGTGCACGCGCTCACACACACATACACCAAGGACAGATTGGTCCTGACCTTGCTGGCCTTTCATAAAGCACTGAAGAACTGGATGTGTTTCAGGGCCTGGGGATCGAGAGGTTAGATGGCCCATTGAGAGGTTTCTGTCTATTGTTTTGTAGGGTTCATCATCAGTGATCATTGCTGGTTTTCTATTCTTTGCTAATATTGCCTTTTATTGTTTTAGTGTGTTGTTAGCTGCCCAGAGTCCCATTCACGAGATGGGCAACCATGTGAATAAATTAAATAAATCAATACATTCCAGGGTGCAGTGGAGTCCATTGCAATGAAGAATCCCAAGGAACGCACAGCACTCTTTGAAGAGATCAGTCGCTCAGGTGAGCTGGCTCAGGAGTATGACAAGCGCAAGAAGGAGATGGTCAAGGCAGAGGAAGACACCCAGTTCAATTACCATCGCAAGAAGAACATTGCAGCCGAGCGTAAGGAGGCCAAACAGGAGAAAGAGGAGGTAACTTTAGAAGCTGCCTTTGTTAGCATAGTTAGATCCCATCTTTTATCTGGGAGTTCACAGAGGTGCATATGGATGCTCTTGCCTCATTTTATTCCTATTACAACAACTTTGTGAGATAAATTGGACTAAAACCAAATAACTAGCTCATAGTCACCAAGTGAGCTCTGTGGTTCCATGGGAACCTGACTCTGGATCCCCTGGTCCAATCTGACACCTTAACAAATGCACCACACTACCCACACTTCCTGTGTTCGCAGCATCATTGATCTGGTGCTTGGTGGATTCCCCTCTGTTTACTTTGTATTTGGTTAAAGTAGAAACTTGGTTCAGTTTTAAGCTATTCTTCTCTCTCTCTCTCTCTCTCTCTCTCTCTCTGTAATAACTTTATTAAATTTTTAAACAAAAGTAAAAACTAACAAGTACTAATATTTAAGATAAGGGAAAAAAGAAAAAGTGAACAAAGTCAAAAGTGCAGAAAGAAAAGAAAAAAAAGACATATAAGGAAATGACTTCCAATTTTCTTTTACAACAGTTATAGATTTAAATTGAACTCTTACTCAAGGGTTACAACAGAACTCTCATTTTTCCTATCTATTTTTTCTAATCATCAAACCCATATATCATAATTTATTTATTTTTTTCTGTTTCATGCAAAAAGTTCAAAAGGGGTTTCCAAACAGCATTGAACTTAGTATCTTTTCTCTGATCAAAACTGTCAATTTAGCCATCTCCGCAAGCTCCATCATTTTCATGATCCACTCTTCCATTGCGGGTAATGTCAAATCCTTCCACCATTGTGCATATAAAAGTCTTGCTGCTGTTATCATGTATAAAAGCAAAGTTCAATGAGTTTTTTTCCAACTGTTTGTCAGTCAGTCCCAGAAGAAACATCTCTGGCTTCATTTGTATATTAATCTTTAAAATCCTCTGAATGTATGTATTTGGATCCAAAATTTTTAGCTTTTTTACATGTCTATCAATCATGATAAAAAGTCCCCTCTTATTCACATTTCCAACATATATTTGAAGTACCTTTATACATTTTAGACAATTTTTCTAGTGACAAATGCCAATGATACATCATCTTATAAAAATTCTCCTTAAGATTATAACGTAATGTAAATTTCAGTCCTTTCATCCACATATTCTCCTATTGTTCCAACTGTATGTCAAACAACATTTTTGGCCCATTTTATCATACATTCATTCACTTGTTCTTCTGTTTTAAATCTCAATAAAAGTTTATACATTTTAGCAATAACATGTTCATTATTTGTACATAATCCTGTTTCAAATTCAGTCAGAGTATTCAAAACCAAAAGTCGTTTTATCTAAATATTTCTGATAATTGTGCATAGGGAAGTCATTGACATGTATATCCTTCTAATGTCAAGTCATCTCCTGATTTCATTTTGAATTCTCCCTGGGAAAATTCTAATATGTCACCATAAGTTAACCATTTATGTTGTGTTATAATTTCTCTTCTATAATATGCTTCTTGTGGTAAGAGTCACAGAGGTATTTTCAGACACAATCTGGATTTATATCTATTCCATATTCTCAATATGGCCCATCTAACAAAATGATTTTAAAAGTCAACATTAACTTTAGCTTTATCATACTAGAAATAACCCTGCCACCCAAATCTCAAATTGTGTCCTTCTAGCTCCAATAATCTTCTATTTCTCAGCATCACCCACTCTTTCAAGCAAACTAAACAGCAAGCTGCGAAGTATAGTTTCAAATCAGGTAAATCCAAACCTCCTCTTTCTTTAGCATCTTGTAACACCCTATATTTGACTCGTGATTTTTTCTCCTGCCAGATATTTTTAGATACATCTTTCTGCCACTGTTTAATTAGTACATCAGTTGTCAGAACAGGTATTGCCTGAAACAGAAATAACATTCTAGGTAAAACATTCATCTTAATCACAGAAATTTTCCCCAACAAAGACAATTGTAATTTGTCCCATCTTAACATCTTTTTTAATTTCTTTCCATGTCTTAACATAATTATTTTGAAATAACATACAGTTCATATTTGTCAAAGTAACAC